TGCGCAGTAGTGCTTCAATTCTCTTGGTAACAACCTCAAATAGCACTTGTTCTTGGTAATATATGAACCTCTTGATGATGTGAAGCCTTGATATGTAGAAGATCAATCCAAAACCTTGACTGATCAGTCCACAGGATTCTTAATTTTAACAGTGTAAAATCCTAATTCATTTGCATCTTGACAAAGACTAACTTGAAAAAGGTTAGGGTTAGATAACATATACTTGATGCACCTATAATGATAATGGAACCTAGGGGTTAAAATTTGGGGGATGACAACACCAAATTTATTTATTTTTGTCTGTTTACCTTTAACGCATTCAACACCAACATCAAGGTTTGTGAAGTCAACATAATCCAAAATTTCATCTGACAATAGTCGCTCAACTTTATTCTTAGAGATGTGACCTAAGCGTTTGTTCCATAATTCTCTTAAATTGTTATTATCAATTTTACGCTTAGTACCACATGATTCCGCGTTTAAGGATTCACCATAGGTAGCTACCGTGTCCAACAAATATAGATTATCATGACTCATAAGTGAACTAGTTCCAAAAATATATGAATTGAAAGGACAAATTGAATTCATGGTTTCTAAATGAACATAAATAACTTGATTTGTCTAAATAAGAAACTAAAAATGAACTCCATTTGAATGACAGTACTGCAAAAGTGTCTTTCAAATCAAAATAAAATCCAGTACACGATAATAATCTAAAATGCCCTATAACTTCCACCTCCACTAACTTGCCATCTCCAACATAGATGTATCTTTCAATATTATTTAGCTTCTGATATTTCAGACAATCCTTCACTGTAACACTTATGTTAGTAGTTACGTCGGAGTTTAACCATCATGTCTTTTTATGTATTAAAGCTAAATTGACCTCAGAACATACCAAACCATGACTCATGTGATTTGAGCGATCCTATTTCTCGTAATCTTTCCTCTGTTCATAGGTACTAGATTCCAAAGGAGAATAGGGTTGTTCCATCCTTAATGCAATGTCAAAATTCATGCAACCAAGAATAATTTTCATGTCCTCATTTCATACCTTAAAATTTGTCCCATTAAAAAGCGTAATCGAATTTATATTAGCAGATATCAAAGTAATTGTAGCTGAAAATAGAACAATAGAAACACTATAATTATACTCACAAAATAAATTGAATCTTTAATATGTTCAACTAATGTCATATCCCATCTCAATATACTTAGTGCACCATCAATATCAAGCATGTAATACCAATAACCATTAGATTACCTAATGTCCAAATGGAAATGGCAAGATAATCAGAGATTGTAACATTTTCACCAGGTTTCACTGCAAAAGATGTGCTTTTTATGCCTGAGTTTAACATGAATTTACTATCAATACGAAATTTATGTGCGGATCTTGATTGTATAGTTATTTTTAATAATGTCGAATAATCTTCGTCACCCTTTCCCGTGCCAATAACTAGAATCAAAAAAAGAGGAATGTCAATGCATCTGGGAATAAACGATTGATTTCGATCAAGAGACCCGCTAGAGCCGCGAACCATAAAGTACTTGCCACTGGTGCCACAGAGAGATATGTTTTTAGATCTCGCATTTCCAATCCTCCTTCGTTTTTTCTTGTAATTTTGAATACCTAATAATACAGAATATAGGAATATGATTCCATGTTTTTTATTAATAAAATCATTTAAGAAAACAAGAGCTTGAAGATGATTTGTTTTTCTGATTGGTTGAAGGAATGTATTAGCTTGCCACCACATAAGGCTCACCTCAAGCCAACACCACACCATCTCAAGCTCAACCTAAATATACCTTCATTTTGAAGAAGCCTTATGTCATTTCAGATTAAAACGTTGTTTGTGACATATATCACTATGCCAAACATATAAAATTTACATTTCAACTCGGTGATGATAAAGCTAGTTAATGTTATAAATTAATTTATTTTGATATATGGGGTCCATTATCCATTAAATCCATTCATGGTCATAAACATTTTGCACTACACTTGATGATTACAATAAACTCACCTGGATTATCATTTGCAAATACATATTTTAAGTCACTAATCTTGTTCAAAAGTCATGCTCATGATAGAAATCTAATACAATTGCAAAGTTAAGATTGTTGGACAGATAATGGTCCTAATTTTTATATGCCTGATTTTAATTATTCAAAAGGCATAAAACAATAAATTAGTTGTGTTAAGACTCCCTAATAAAATTAGAGAGTGGAAAGAAAGCATAAACACATTTTAAATCTGGGAAGAACTTTACTTTTCTAATCAAAATTACCAAAACAGTTTTGGTCAAATGCAGTCCTTCATGCCACTTATCTTATTAATCACATTCCTAGTACTTTGGTTCAAAATAATTTACCATATTTTTATATATTTAGAAGTGATCATGATATCAATGAATTAAAAGTTTTTGGATCACTATTTTATGCTTCAACTCTATAAAATCATAGAACCAAGTTAGATTCTGTAACTAGAAAAGATACAAGCAAAATATCAAAGGTGTTGTAATCCTAGACTTAAATACCAAACCATGTTCATTTATAGACATGTTACTATTCATGATCATGTTTTCCATATTGTAACCCAAATCAACCATTTATTTGGACATACCACTCTGATCATGATTTTGAACTTGAATCTGTCATAACAATTAGGCATGACCATAACCAAGTCACTGATCCTATCATACAAAACAATGAGGAATACATTCCAAAAATTGACATAAATAAGACTGATTTACAAAATGAGATAATATCTGAACCATAAATATTTAGAAGATTCACTAGAATAAACCAAAAGCCTAGTCACTTGTCAGACTTCATATGCAAGTTTTCAAAGAAATTACTTGACCATAATTCTACATGTACACTCTATCTTATTAGAATTTCCAATCATGAAATAATCTCTCTACTTCACAACAACAATTTTCTTTGTCTATTACCGGTATTTCTAAGCCAGATAGTTGTCAAGAAACAAGCAAGTATTATTGTTGGATCAAGGCAATGAACCCAATACTTAGGAACTGGATGCCTTAGATTTTTGTTGATCCTCCACCTAGCATAAAACCTATTGGCATCAAATGGTTTTACAAGTTAAAACATAAAACAAATGGGATTGTAGAGAGACACATAGCTAGATTAGTATCCAAATCTTACCGTTAGGGGTGCTCAAATAAACCGGTTATTTAAATAATTCATATTCATATTCAAATCTGATTATTAAAAACAGGTTAATTATTAGTATGGTTTTAACCAAATCTATATTTTGGATATATTTTTAATATGGTTTTAACCAAATCCATAATTTGGACATCCATATCCAAAATAAAAATCAAATTAGTCAATTTTTTTAATTAAAAAAAACTTTGAAATTTTTTTTCAAAAAACAATATTTTTATTTTGAAAAAAAAAATATTATTTTAATTTTTTTCAGTAAATAAAAAATTTTCCGTCATAATTATTTTACTATTTATTTTTAAACTCGTTGACGAAAATCAATTTATTTTTCATTTCAATTTCAGTTTTAAAAATTAATTATTTTACTATTTAATAATAATATATAAATCATATCAATCTATATGATTTCTATTTTATTATATTTTATGTCGTCATTTTAAATTTACCACTCAATTTTATTTGAAGTATAAGAATGAGTGACCTAAAGTGAATGATTTTAATAGTGAATGACCAATTTAATGTTAAACCAATAATCTTTTATTATTATTATATATTAACATAGATTTACATATTATACAATTTATTAATTGTTAATATAATTGTTGCACAATAATAGTTTCACACCTGCGCTACCGGTTAAAATATCTAAATACTTATTCTAGTATGATTGCATTATACTAAAAGTCTATATTGTTCTCTTCAAAATGATTAAGAAAGAGTTTGTTTAAAATTTTCACAACCGATTTGCAAAACGTTTTATTCAAGATATCTAAACTATATAATATCTCTTTCATATCACTTATTATATATAATACTCTAATTATTTTATTCATTATTAAAAAAAACTCAAATAAAAAATAAATTAGCCAATTTTTTTAATTAAAAAAAAACTTTGAAATTATTTTTTAAAAAATATATTTTTTATTTTGTAAAAAATAGTTTTAATTTTTTCATTAAATAATTTTTTTCAAAAAATTTAAAAAATATTTTTTATTTTAAATTTTAAAATAATTTTAACATCAATATTTTTTTTTAAAAAAAAATTATGATTTTGAAAAAATCAATTTTAAAATAAAATTAAATTAAAACTAATTGTAAAATTGGTTATGGATATAACCGGTTTATAACCATTTTAAAAGATAAAAAACTCCTAATAAGAATTGGTTTTAATAATCGGTTGTAATATATAAATTATTTATGATTATGGATTGGTTTTGGATATTAACCATGACCATCCTTATTTTGGATATGAGAAAATAAAACTTGTTATAATTTGCAGGGCGTATTGAGCTGAATGATAACCACTGTTACTATTTTGAGGGAAGTTGTTTGAGGAAATCGAAAACGGATTTTACGAGTTTGCTAGAAATACTTACGAGCAAAATCAACATCAGGTAAATATAGGTTTAGTTAGTTCAGGTTGTTTGATTTGTATTATATGGAGTGGGATACTATATCTTGCCAATGTTGGAAACTCGCGCGCTGTACTTTGTTCTAAGGAGCGTGTTGGTCTATTTGGAAGATTCTGTGTAGAGCAATTGGTTAGAGATCACACTTGTGATAATCCAGATATTCAGAAATACAATTTGGTACACAGTACATACAATTCATTATAAAAAAAATTGAATATATAAAAAATTATTTAAGAAAAATACTATAAATCATGACATTTGAATACTATGAATCAGTCAACCAGATTCAGATTTATATTTCGACAAATTCACCACTCATTTAACCTCTTCCTTTCTCCTTCACTCATTCTGTAATCACACTCTCTTGTCTTCAGAATGTGAAATCACAAGATCATGAGTCTGTTTCTAAAATGTATACTTTTCGGGATCCCGATCCCTTACAGAATTTATAGTGTTACCGCTGAAACGTTTAATAATGACCCTTTCGCAAGATCAATGAGACTGAATAGGCATTACTGTGGCGAATTTTCCATGGCTTCAGTTCAGTCAAATAAGGATATGGAAGATCACAGCCATGTTGATGTTGGCCTTGATGCACTCTTTGTTGGAATTTATGATGGCTTTAAAGGCGACACCGCAGCCATCTATATCCGTAGACACATCTTTAAAGCTCTATTGAGTGAGTCTTCTTTCATTCTTTGTTTCTTTCTTACTTGCATTTTCATTCATGTGTGTGTCTGATTTTCTTATTATCATTACAATGGTTATAAATTGCAGGACGTATTACAGAGAATAATAACAATATGACTGTGACTATTTTGAGGGAAGTTGTTGAGGAAATCGAAAGCGGGTTTATTGAGTTTGCTAGAACTAGTTTTGAGCAACAACATCAGGAACAGATAGGTTTAGTTAGTTCAGGTTGTTTGATTTGTATTATATGGAGAGGGACACTATATGTTGCCAATGTTGGAGACTCACGCGCTGTACTTGGTTCTCGGATGGGTGTCGGTCCTTTTAAAAGATTGTGTGTGAAGCAAATGGTCAGAGTTCACAATTGTGAAAATTCGGATATTAAAAAAGAACTCCGTAAATGGCATCCAGATGATAATCTTATTTACGAACTAAATGAATTACGCGATGAGCCGCATTCTCATATTTGCAAAGGTCAACTATGGACTATGAAAGGCTTAATCCAGACAAGCAGATGTATAGGATATGCATACATGAAGAAGGTTCCGTTTACTCAGAGGAGAACGTTCAAAATCCCAATTGGAGAACGAGTTGTTTCCGCTTTTACAAGACCTTTGCTAACATCAGAACCAGAAGTTTATTCAAGAGTCTTAAAAGACACTGATAGTTTCGTTATATTTGGATCTAGCGGATTTTGGAAATTAATGTCAAATGAGCTTGCTGCTAGAATTGTTAACACCACTCCACGAGATAATATCGCAAAAATACTTGCCATGGTTGCTATAGAGAAGGGGGCTAATAAAAGAGGGAAAAAATACAGGGACCTTATAGAGATTCCAAATGGAAATGGTGTTAGTGGGGATTTTGGTTATGTACATGACAGAATTAGACCGTTTTATCATGATGATATCACTGTGATTGTGGTATTTTTCAACAAAAGGCCGAATAGTGTAAAGCCAGAGATCAAGTCTTATACTTGCAATGATTACGCAGATCAACCATCAGAATTTACACATTTCTATAACAATACGAATGTGTGACACAACACACGGTTTGTTCATTTACTCGTTCCTGTTGTAAGCGTGACAGTGATTATGCTTCTGCCTTAATTTAAAAACATTTCTAGTGTTTTACAGCACTCTTCTTCTTTTAATTGACTGTTTTCATTTTCTACATTCTTCATTTTTCTTATTTTCATGTATGTGTCTTGTTATTTAGATGTCTTAGAGTTGAGAAGACGGAAACTATTTTCTTTATGTAAAAAGATCAATTAATCTAGAAAATTAATTTTAACAAACTTTCTCGTAGCTGAAGTGCTTATCATTTTACACTAGCCTGTTTTTGTATTCTCGTGTATAGATATATTTTTGAATGAATAAGCATATAGTATAAATAAAATATCAGACATGTAATATATTTGCATAGAGTTTTTCTTTTTTTTTAGCTTTTCTAATGTTATATTGTCATGTGTAGTGTATAGCACTGATATATGTATGAAATATAATAGAAGTTTGATGATGAAATGAACTGATATATGCAGGCCATATTCAGCAGAATAATAACAATGTGTCTGAAGATATTATGAGGCAAGTTGTTTCTGAAACAGAGGCAGGGCGGAGAGGGACACTATATCTCGCCAACATTGGAGACTTACGCTCACATGCTTTACTTGGTTTTCAGAAGGTTGTTGGTCCATTTAAAAGATTGTGTGCTAAGCAAATGGTTAGAGACCGCAATTGTATTGCATCCAAATGACGATAATATATGCTTCAATAGTTTTGAACCATATAGTGTTAAAGACTTATGAGACGGGTTTTTTAGCTTTCAGTTTATACCTTCTAGTATATTTACAAACAAATCTATAAATCATAATATGTAAATAAATGAGTTTCTTTAAGAGAGATTTAAATAATCTTCTTTATCCCTCTTGTATACCAAGTTGGCTTATGCTTCATAAATTATCAAAATAGAAGAATGAAAAGTGATTACCAATGACTTTTTTGGTTCATAGAATTATAAATAAAACACATACCACTAGGTCAATCAGAACACTTGACCAAAAGATTCGTTGATTCAAACAAAACCAGAATCAGTAACAATACACATCTCTGCAACAAAATGAGGATAAATAGTCTTCATGCTCTTATATCCCAACATATCAAGAAAGGAAAACACAAAGAAACTTCATAAAAGAAATGGTAAAAGAATCCTCAACCAACTAGATAATATTTCTTTAGAACAATGTATATATTATAATTTCCTTGATCCAACTCTCATTCTCCATGATTTGAACTTAGAAGCATTTCCTGTGTACTATTGATGGCCCGGATTCATCATATTCTGCCTTTGCAATCCACATCTGAAAAGTAACACATTAGAAATGACTTGATTAAGCCTAAGTAAATACATTTTATAACTTGTACTTATTAATGAAAATTACTGATTTATTTGCTGAATTATTAATACAAAAACCATCAAGTTTACCTGTTGGAAAGTGCTGAGGGATGCCAAAATGGAGCCTCCGATCCAGACACTGTACTTCCTCTCTGGTGGTGCTACAACCTTGATTTTCATGCTACTAGGTGCCAATGCAGTAATTTCCTTGCTCATCCTATCAGCAATACCAGGGAACATTGTGGAACCACCACTCAAAACAATGTTACCATAGAGATCCTTCCTAATGTCAACATCACACTTCATAATTGAGTTAAATGTTGTCTCATGGATACCAGGAGATTCCATCCCGATCATCGATGGCTGGAACAGAACTTCAGGGCATCGGAATCTTTCAGCGCCAATTGTGATCACCTGTCCATCAGGTAACTCATAGGTCTTCTCAACAGCTGAGCTAGTCTTAGCGGTCTCCAACTCCTGCTCATAATCCAGAGCAATATAAGCCAGTTTCTCCTTCATATCCCTCACAATTTCCCGCTCTGCAGAAGTGGTGAAAGTGTAGCCACGCTCAGTTAAAATCTTCATCAACCCGTCAGTTAGATCACGCCCTGCAAGATCCAATCGAAGGATCGCGTGTGGAAGTGCATAACCCTCATAAATTGGAACTGTGTGACTAACACCATCCCCAGAATCCAGAACAATACCTACAACAAAAAGCATAGAAAACCACATCAACTCATTTCAATCACAAGCCATATTCTTTACCATGACTACGCCTTCAAAACATATTCATCATTCATTATACAAAAAAAGTACACAGCATCAGCACCATTTCAAGGCATATCCAGTGACACATGCAGTTAAATCATTTCAATTTTTATAAAATTATTATCACTGTAATGATCTGTGTACGTGATTCATACAAGATTAGAATATAACAACAGTGGTATATGCATTTGCAACATGAAAGGTGAAGTAATTTACCAGTTGTACGGCCACTAGCATAAAGAGAAAGCACAGCTTGAATAGCAACATACATGGCCGGAGTATTGAACGTCTCAAACATGATCTGAGTCATTTTCTCACGATTAGCCTTAGGGTTAAGCGGCGCTTCAGTGAGAAGAACCGGATGTTCTTCAGGCGCAACACGAAGTTCATTGTAGAAAGTGTGATGCCAGATCTTCTCCATATCATCCCAATTACTAACAATTCCATGCTCAATTGGGTACTTCAGAGTCAAAATACCTCTTTTGGATTGTGCTTCATCACCAACATACGCATCTTTTTGTCCCATTCCAACCATTACTCCAGTGTGACGCGGACGACCTACAATGCTAGGGAACACTGCCCTAGGTGCATCATCTCCTGCAAATCCAGCCTAAAACAACAAAAACAACAACAAATTAAATCGATTGAAGTTAGAAAATAAGCAATTGAACATGAAGAAGAAGAAGATCCATTGATTGGTTGATATACCTTAACCATTCCGGTTCCGTTATCGCAAACCAAGGGTTGAATATCTTCAGATTCTGCCATTGTTGATTTTCTGTGAAAAGAAATTCAATTCAGATGAAATCAAGAAATGTGTGTGAGAGAGAATGTTTGTTTGTTGGTTTTGTATTGTGGGTTAAGCTACTACCCGCGCCTGTTGTTTTAAAAAGAGAAGGTTGTAAACGTAAACGTATCAAATGAAACGCAAATTGCTTATCGTTCAATCCTGGCCGTCTATTTCGTATGTATGATCCCACGGGCCATGTTTCTTGTTGTAAATAGCTGGCAATGTTGCTCTTTTACTTGCTTTCCAGTTCTTTCTCCCTGGCATCTCCTGAGTCCCTAAATTACTAGTAGTATGATTAAAAACTGATAGTATTATTAAATATATTTTATTTATTATTTTTTAAGATTATGTTATAAAAAATTTATTTATTTCTTTTTATGGTAATATTTATTGATGATTTAAAATATTTAAATTATTAAATATTTTATTAAAGAAATAAATAATGTAACTGAATAAAAAAATATATTTTTATATAAAAAGTGATAACAAAAATTCTCAAAGTTAATTAAAAATGTGACCATGTTACACTGCATCCAGGCGGTAATCTATATAGATTTGATGTTTTTTATTCTTTTTGTGAAATTTTAATATTTTCTATAAAATAATTCTTGTTTTTTTAGTATTTTAATGATATTAATTACTTTTAAATATATCCTTATTTTATCTTAATTAAAACAAGAGAAAAATAATTATAAGGGTGCAATATGTAAATGGATAGAAAATATATTAAAATTTATATAATAATTTAAGTATAAAGCAAACACGATTTAATTGTTAAAAAAAAACCAAAGAATACATTTTTAAAAAAATCATCAAAGAATAAATTTAAAATAAGTATACAATACATTAAATAAAAATTTTGGTTACAAGATATTTATTAATAATAAATTTTAAACCTTATAATAAGTTTGATTATGATAGAATATGATAATGATATCATAAATAACATTGTATCAAGCGTTTGATAGACTCATGATAAAAAAAATATAAAAAAATGTTAACGAGTATTTCAGAGATATTCTTTAAAAGATTAAAAATGTGAGTTTTATTAAAAATGTGTGTATTTAATATATTAAAAATTAAAATAATTAAATTTAAAAAAAAATATCTTTTGTATTTGTAATCTTTAAAGAGTGTCCCAAAGACACTCGTTAGCATGACCTAATATTAATGTTTTATTATTGTTTTTTATATAAAAAATGCATACATTCATTATTGATGAAAATGGAGACGAAGACTTTTCTCGGGTGTCTCGACCTCTGGTGTAGCATATTATTCGTCTGTTATGGGTCTTATTGTCTCTACTCTTTATCTGTTGGTAGGGATTTTAGTATGGCCTTGATGCCCTCTTGGTGGAAAGGAGTTTCTCTTCTTAAAGCTAAGACACACGATCCCTCTAATTGGTTTGAGAATGACTTGATTAAGAAGATAGACTCTGGTCTCTAAACCTTCTTTTGGCACGACCTTTGGATATGAGATCTCCCCTTGTCCAAAGATTTTATAGGCTCTTTACCATTTCTCAAGTGCAAGATGGAAAAATGTGTGAGATAGAGAAATTGGTTTAGGGAAAACTTTATTCAGATCTTAAGTGGATGAAACCTTTTTTCTTTGAATATGAGGAGATAATAAACATTGAGTTCTTCTCAGTTCTGCAGTCTGTTCATCTTAGTTTGGATCCTAATAGGTGGATTTGGAAACATAGTAAAGAATACACTTTTTCAGTGCCTTGTGCGTACGTATAGCCTCCAAATGAATCTTTTTTCCCTCTTCAGTTAACTAGGGTGTAAGAGATGTCTTTATGCTTCCCCTTATTTGGGATACTTAGGCCCCATCTAAGGTGAAGACTTTTTCTTGACAGCTCTTTCAAGATATATTCCCCTCTAAAGAGAATCTGGTCAAGCGAAAGGTTATTGTTGATCCATAGGGTAGCTCTTGTATTCTTTGTGAGGGTTTTTTTGAATTTGATTCCCATTTATTTGTTACCTGTAACTTATTTTCTAGCGTCTGATGTAACGCCCATTTTAATTATCTAGTTTTTCCTGAATTTTTGTGTTGTTGCGTTTCGGCTTGTTGTGGGGGTGCGTTTGAGTAAGATGAGGTTTAGGCCTTAAGTTGGAATTTATCGGATATATCGGACCATAAGAATAATAATAATATTGTTATTAACGGAAAATGATAATTAATAAATAATGGTGATAATAGTAATATTGTTATTATTAATATTATTATTATTATTATTATTAGTGTTAATACATTAATATTATTGTTAATATAATTGGAATTAAGAAAATTATAAGATTAATTGAGTAAGGGTAGAAATGGAATAAGAAAAGAAGGGTATTTGGCTTGGAAGAAAGAAATAGAAAGAAACGCGTGAAAGGAGAAGGAAGGAAGACACGAGCAAGAGAGGAGAGAAGAGCTTGGGCAAATTGGAAGGAGAGGAAGCTAAGGCATTTCAATTTGAGCAAGAATTCATCATCTGTGCTGGAATTCGAGGTAAGGGGGGAGAAATTGATCAAAACGGTAGATAGCATGAATATTAGGTAGTAGGGATTTTCCCCTAATTCCATGATTTTGTTATGCATGTTGTTGATTATGTGTTTGTTATGCCGATTCTGTATGCGTTGATTCGATTTCATGCTGTAGTGTTGAACGGGTAGGGAGAATTGGGGTTCCGGGCAAACTGCCATTGTTATGCCGGAACTGAGCGATTGTCAGAATTGGGGTTTTTATCGGGTAAGAACCAGAGCATTCAGTGTAGCCTTGTTGTATGTTGCTATACTGATAGAGTGCAGGCTTTCGTGTGATTTAGTCGGGTGGTATCGGAGTGGGAACTGTTTCTGAACTGTGATTTTTTCTCAAAAATCACAGACACTCGCTAGCTCCCCGCTAGGCAAGTGCACAGCGAGCCTTCGCTAGGTCGTCACTGAGCGAGAGGGTAGCGAATGAAAACAGAATGTTCCCAGGTGACTTCGTTGGCCAGTTCGCTGAGCGAACTTGCAGCGAGCCTTCGCTGGTGCTTCGTTGGGCGATGGGTCAGCGAGCATGACAGTATTTTGATAGTTTGTTATGCGCTGTTCCGTTCTTGTGCCGTTTTAATCTGTTGGTTATGGGTGACCCTGAGAGTTAGCAGGGCACTGCTGTGAGTGTGTGTGTGTGTGTGTGTGATACGAGAGTGTGTTTCTCGAGGTAATTGTATAATCAAATATGAGAATGACATGTATTATGTGTATATGAGTTTTGGTGTGAATTACTTGGAATATAGTATGTGGTGCATGAGATGCGTGATGAATGTGATATGTGCATTATGTGCAGCATGTGTGCTTGCATTTGTTGTGGTGTCATGGTGTTGTGCATGGCATGTGAAGGGGTTGATCATTTGCTCGGAGGGGCAAGTGAAACATACTCAGGACTCCGTAAGGGAGGGTGAAGGGGTTGATCATACTGCTCGGAGGGGCGTATGAAACATACTCAGGCTCCGAAAAGGAGTGGATGCAGGGGTTGATCATATTGCTCGGAGGGGCATATGAAACATACGCAGTGATGGGATAGATCGTTGCCTAGAGTGGCTTGAGTGATCTATCCAGGTTCGATGATGAACCGTGAGTCGGTACCGCATTGCATGTGTTGAGTTGCATGTGTCGCATAGTCGTGTGCATGTTATGGTGGTGTGGGACCGTAGGTCCGAATTGATGCATGTGGATTATTATGTATTGTGTTTACTGCCTTTATATTCATGTTTACTATTGCCCTTTTATGTTTTGTTCGTATTTTCTCACCCCTTGCCTTGTTGTGAATTGTGCTTCTCCGGAAGTACAGATGTTTCAGGTGCTAGCTAGATTGTTCCGTGGCGAGTCATAGGGATGCTCAGATACGTAACACCGGGGTTTTTGGGAGTTTTCGTATTTTATGTTATTCGTGTGCCCTAGTGGCGTATCTCTTTTATGATATGTTTGATGGATCTTTTGGTGTGTATTTGTACATGATATGTGTTTTGGGACAGACAGTCAAGGATGATGTACATGACATTGTACGATGTTGATATGATTATATATATAATGAAGTTTTATTCTTTTCTGCTGTTTACACATTGTTAAATTATTTTTATGGAAGTATTTGGCTGGTTTTCTTCTGTAACATCCCGATGTGTTGGTGTAATACTCTGATAGTCATCTATTTTCTCTTGGATTTATTTGTTTTGGGATCGGGGTGTTACAATCTGGTATCAGAGCAGGTCGGTCCGTTCGGCCAGTGTTGTAGTCGAGTCTGTCTATAGGATAGAGCTTAGTTGTGTTCTGATAACCCGTTGTTGTTGATGTTGAGCAGTATGGCGGGAAGGAACGACACCGCGTTGGTTGCGGCCATGCAAGCAATGGCGCAAGTAGTGGCTAATCAGAACCATGCTGCATGAGTGCAATTCAGAGACTTGGCGCAGTTTCAGAGCAACAAGCCGCCAACGTTTCAAGGAGGGATTTTAGATCCGGAAGCGGCGCAGAAGTGGTTGAAAGCGATAGAGAAGAGTTTTTGGACTATGGGATGCAGTGACGAGCAGAAGGCGCGATTTGGCACTCACATGTTAGAAGGAGAAGCTGAAGCATGGTGGGACAACAGCCGCCAAAGGTTGGAGTCTGCAGGAACTCCTATTACCTGGGATGTTGTTCGCACTGGTTTTCTGGAGAAGTACTTCCCTGAAGATATCAGAAGTGCCAAAGAGATAGAATTCTTGGAGCTGAAGTAGGGAAATATGACGGTGGTGGAATATGCCGCTAAGTTCGAGGAATTAGTACAATATTGTCCCCACTACAATACTGATGGAGCGATGACCTCCAAATGTTTGAAGTTCGAGAATGGATTGCATCCAGAAGTGAAGATGGGGATAGCTTGTCAGAAGATCCGAGATTATCCTGAGCTGATAAGCAGAAGCCGGATTTATGACAATGATAACCGGGCGAGGATTGCACATTACAAAGCCGCTAAT